TACGGCGGATGCAAGAGATGCTGCAGAAGATGCAGCAGCAGATGCAGGATCAGTGAGAAGCAGATACCTGGAGGGCAGAGGGGATCCCCCAGTGACCACCTGAGACCTGGCAAGAGCTGTGAACATTTAGAAAAGGTTTCCTGTTGTATAGAGACTTGTGGGCAAGAGCTGCACCCGCACCCTCTAATTTATTAGCAGCAGTGCTGGCTTTTTGACCAGCTGGATTGTGGAGGAGGCTGTTCACTTAACAGTTTACTGATGTGTATTTCTTTTTTAATAATTATTCTTTTGTTTCTTTTTTTTCCTTTTTTTTTTTTTTAAGAAACTAGCCTGGGACGTCTCTAAGGCATCCTAAAAAAATAAGAAAAGAAAAAGATCCTCCTTTCCTATGTACTAATCTCTTGTTTGGGAATGCTCTGGTATTTAAAGTCCTGGTTTCTCTGGTGTACAAACTTAAAGTATCTGTGTCACTGCACGTAGGTGTTTACTCCCAACTGAGGTGCTGTGCCCCTGTCCCTGTCCCCCTTGTCTGGGGCCAGCACAAGCATTGTAAAGGCAGCCATACCCTCCTGTGAGTTTGACCTGTGCTGCTTGGGCTTCTCAGCCTGGGGACAGTGCTGGCCCAGAGAACCGGGGCTGGGGGTTCCTCTGTGCACTGACCTGCTCAGGAGTCCTGATGATTGCCTGGTATCCTGTCCAGGTTTTTATGGATTTTTTGTTTAGTTGGTTGGTTTTGTTCTTCCTATCAAGAAAACTCCAGGATGTTTGCACTGAACAGCAAGAGACTGAGTGCCTCGAGGAGGCTGGTTACAAGAAAACCGTTCTCAGTTACATCTTTCTGGCAGAGAGGTTGAGTTGTTGACTATTGCCTGCAAGGAGGTGATGGGAGTGAGCACTTTCCCTGCCATGGTTGCCTCCCACAGCAGGCTGGAGGCATTGGTAGAGGAAACCTAAGGCCCTGCAGTAGCTGGGTGAGGGTGTTTCATGGTTTAGCTCTGGTCATCACCTGCAGTGTGTCTTCAGTGTCTGCTCTGAAAAGCACTGTGGCATCCAGAGCACTTGCCAAGACTGCTTTGGAGGGGGTAGAAACCCTAGGGCTGAAATCCAACCCAAAATGCAGACCTGTCCCCTAGCCCCAGGCTTTGCAGTCCCATGAGCACATAGCTGGCTCCAGGCTTCTCCTGGGGGAAGGGGCACATTTGTAGGCTTGTACTGAGATCTGCAGGCAGTCTGTGTGGGCAGGTGTTGGGTCAGCCTGGCAGGTGCAGGACTGTCACTGAGTGGGGCTGAGCACAGCCCAGCAGGCTTGGCTCTTGCTCCCCTGCCCTTCCCCCAGGCACTCAACCCTTCTCCCCCTCCTTATTCCTTGGCTCTTCCTGCCCTAGTGCTGGGAAGGCTGGTGAGTCTGCTGGGCAGAGATAAAAGCACTCTTTGGGCAGCAGCTCCTGTCCTGTTCTTGCTTCCTGCAGTATTTTTAACTTGAGTACAGCCAGAGCAGAGCCCTGGAGTGTGATGTGCCTGACAGGGCAGGGCTCGCCAGCAACACTGCCATGCTCACAGGAGTCAGGGCTGTTGGAGGGAGAGACACTTGGCTCTTCCCTCTGACTCCAGGGACTGCAGCCATGGGCTGGGCCCTTCTGCTCCTTGCCTGACTCCTCTGCCCCCTCTCCCCTTTTGTGTCTGTTCCTCCATCTCTGGATCTCCCCAGTAGATCTCCCTGGGTAGGAAGCTCAGTGTTGGCCAGGAATAGCCAGGCCCTAGGTTCTGTTACTAGGCACTGCATTTGTCTGAATCCTCCCTGGGGCTTCAGAGTCCCTGTCAGGGTTTGTCCAGGTGGTGAGTAGGTTGGCTGGTTCCAGTTATTCACTGTACAGAGACTCTGCTTAGCCAGTGCATGGGCTGTAGGGGCAGGGGAGAGACCCTGGCACCATGTGGAAGGACAAAATAAGGATGGAAGCCCTTTCACAGAACTGTGTATGTTAGGCAAGAGCAGTGTTCAACAATGTTCATGGTTTTTTTTCATGCTCCCTTATTTTGGGCTCATAAGTGGCAGTGCCATGCTAGGAGAGCAGAAGGATTCAGCTTGACTTCAGTAACATGAAGGACTGAGGCACCTGAGAGGAAGTATAACCTTTCTCTGCATGATGTGCTTACTTGGGCAGTGGAGTAGCCTGAAACAGGAGCTTCCTCCAGGTTTTCCTGGAAGGTGGACAGCTGAGTTCTCAGCTTTGTCTGTACTGACATAAAAGGAAACATCTTGAAGTACCTGTCCCCTCTTTTCTTACACTAATCTTGGTGAGGAGGATGTTCTGTTGCAAATGAGCCCTGTCCACCTGGAGATTTTCCTCTTCCAAACAGATTCATTCCTAGAAGATAAAGGAGAGCTTTTCCCCTTAGCATGGACATGGAGCAGCTGACACCTTTGTTGCTGGGCTGTGCACAGAGGTGCTGTGTGCTGGTGAAAGCACAGGGTTCGCTGCTCACAGGCAGGGCTGCTGAGGGTGGATCTGCCCATCCTTCCACCTGGGGATTCTCCATCAGCTCAGTGCCTCCTGCATCAAGTCAAGGGTCACAAACCTGTCCTCTACAGGGAGCTGAAGCCTTTGGCTACCAGCTGGCAAAGATGGTTCAAGTTGCATTTAGGAAAAACCACACAGGAGTGAGGCACCAAAGATGGCTTCCACAGAGGGGTGGTGGTACCACTGAAATCATGTGTCCGTAGGATGTTCCCTGGCCTGAGTACCAGAATTCAGGGACTGCTTGGAAAGGGATTAGAGACTGATTTTTGGGGACATCAGGGGGTCAGATTCTGGTCTGGAAGGTGGAATCTGTTTATTTAAGGAATCTGTTTATTTAAGGAGTGTGGCATCAATTCTCACAGTAAGTGGAGAAGAGACTCCTGAGCACAGGGAGCTTTTGTGGCTCTGGCAGCGAGAAGTGTGGATAGGAAAGTAATTTAACACCTCCCCTCATGCAACCCTCCACAGCCTCACATACAATCCCTGCACCCCCTGGCACATTCCCATGCCTCTGCCAAGCTTTGCCCTGCTGAGTGAGTGGCTGCAGGGATGGTGTCCCACCCACAGCTATCCCAGGCTGCAGCTGGGGCTGTTGGTACATCTTGGCCCCTGTGCCTGACAGGATGGATCCATGGCATGAACTCCTTGTGTGCCACTGCTGTGCTGGTCCTGCCTGTGCAGTCCTTGCTGCCTCCTTGCATGCCTCCCCTCAAAGGAGGGGCTCCCACTCGTGCTCTGCAATGGCATTCCCTGCTCTTCCTCACAAACTCTGCTGTGCTTTAATGCTGGCTTGCTCCTGCCATGCACCTTCCTCACCCCCTGCTCCATTCCTAGGCTCTATGTTTCCTGTCCATCTGTTAGGTTATTATAATTATATTTTTTTTTGTAAATTTCTGTTTGAACATTTTGTCATTGTGAACAAAGAAAATGAAACCTTTTAAACATATCCATTTTATTAAATGATTATTGTTATTATTATTAATGTTTACTACCTGAATTGATCAGTGAAATAAATACATTCAAAAATCCAACCTCTTTCTGTTTCATCTTCAGCCCCCTTGAGCAGCATTGGTGATACATTATGGGCAGGAGAGAGCAAAACTGACCCTGTTTCTCCTTTTGTCTAATTCAGTCAGAGCAGGTTTCAGGCAGGTTTCCTGCATGAGATTTCTGGCCTGCTTATTGTAGAAGCTAGCAAGATGATCTTGAAGGTTCTTCTATATCCAAGCTTCCCTAGGAATGGTATCTAAATCATCAATGGTCAGCTGGGCAAGATCCAGTCCCTTACAACTGCAGATAGCAGTTTGTAAGCAGCCAGGAGAGCATTGCCAAGTCCATGCTGCATGCAGAGCCACAGATTAGCTCCATGCCACACCTGGGCTGAACACCTGCCTGTGAATAAACACAGCACTGAACACATGAGATGAGGTAAGTTTGCTTAACAAACTTACCCTGCTGTAGTTGAGCTGCTCCCAAGTGGAAAGCAGACTCTGCAGGAAAAACTGGGTTAGTTTGTTAGCCTAAGATATCTTTCCCACTCTGCCTGGCCACCGCAGTGAAACAACTGGAATTCTCTGCACCAATTTTGTAGAAATTTAAAGTTTAATTGTTTTCTTCAGAGCATAAAAAATTTCCGTTGGTTAGGGCCACATTCTGCAATTTTTTGCACTCTCAATTCTCTTAACATGAACACATTCAGGGCATTCATCATTTCTGATCTCTAGGATGTCCACAGCACAATGTAACAGAGTTGAGTTCAATGGGGCAACAGTTCCATAATGTGATTCTGGTGGCCTTAGGCTAAGGAGTCCAGTGTATGCCTGGTCAGGCTGATGGCAGAGAAGTGTCTGTGAAGATGCTATGGCCATGAGAAGATGTGATTCTGCCTGAATGCAGTTTTGGTCCTTGGACTTACCTGTTGAAGTATTTGTGTAATGCAGCTTCTAAATAAAGCATGTGGTCAGTCTTTCTCAGTAACTGCACTTGTCAAGGGCTGTGGGCCATTTGAAGAGTCTTTCTCTGGAATGATGGATGGACTGGCAGACCATGTCTATCAGCAGATATTTCACTAATGAGAACTAGATTTGTGTCATTGCCTCAAGGGAAACCTGAGGGTGTGCACCCAGAAAGTTCTAGATGTCACCACTCTGCTAAGTTTTCCTGATGAGATGGGAAACCAAAGGTCACAGTGCTGAGGGAGTATGGTACAAACCAGTAACATCACCTTCCAGTCTGAAGTGCATTTTGAGTTCCTGTGCTGTTGGGACTTCATAACATTTCTGTTGGGCTGAGCCTGTGGGCCCAGAATCACAGTTATCAGTACTGGCAACATCTCCCAGCAAATGTGTTCTTGTGAGCAGTGTCAGCTCCCCTTTCTTGGAAGACTTGCTCAATGAAGCCTCAGCTTCCGGTGGCAGGCAGCAGACTTGCAGGAAGGCCTCATGTGGGAGGTGTCCCTGGGATGAGGCTGACCCTTATCTTGCCAGCCAGCTGCAAGGGGATTATCTGGGAACAGAGCTCTGCACACACTGCACTGGCTGGGCTGCCTCGAGACCTTTCTCTTGTGTTGTAAAGCCAGCAAGAAAGCAAGGATTGAACTACTCTGGTAAGTCAATAATGCTACCTTCTAATCTTTTTAAAATTTTTCTTTAATTGATTGACAATTACAATTTTTCAAGCACAGAAAAATGCTGTCTTGTTGCAAGTATGTGTAGTTGTTCTCCTAGAGAAGTTACAGCAGCTCCTGTTCAGCAGTGGCATGAGACTGTAACATATAAAAAGCTCGTTGACCCATGTCTCCCAGCACAGGTGATTATTCACCTGCTGGAGCAGTGTCTAGCATGAAAAACTCCACTGGCCTCTATCCTCAGTGGTCAGCACCTTCACTGCAGCCAAAGACTGTTTATCTCTTCTTTTCAAGGCTAGAAAGGCTATTTTTTACTCATGGTAACAGTAAGTTTATTTCTGAATCTCCTCTTGCAGTTGGCATGAACAAAGCTTTGCTTAAAGATGTAATCCAGAGCTATGATAAGGCATGAGGAAGTTCATATTCTAGTTTTTGATTCCTTGATAGAAATTTTCTTGGCTATCCTGATAATGCACCTCCAGTAAGGCTGAAAACACAAGCAGCTCTGGTACACTTCTGAGGACTAGTGAAAATATCTTTGATTGCTGCATCTAAGCCTTCCACTACCATGTATTCATATCCCTCCTCAAATCCAGGGTTGAAAGACCATGAAAATTCCTTCACCTATACTGAGAGACCAGAATTTGCTCTCTTTTAACTCTGTTCTTTTCAGAGCTCTCGTGTCTCCAGTGGAGGATACCAAATTCACCCAACTGTAGAAGCTCATCCTCAGAACAAAACAACAAAAGACCTTGGCTGTGGTGTCAGCCCTAGAGTGCGTGGTGTCTGGTCTCCACCTCATCCAATCTCACCAGGGAAGTGTTTGCAGGTGAAAATGAACAGTGGAATTCTCTTGTCCCTCCTTGGCTTCCTCCCACTCGTGACACCCACATGCCCTGTGCCATGCAGGTGCACCACCAGCATTACTGACTGCTCACTGAAAAACCTGACTGTAGAAAACCTGCCCACTGCCTTCCGTCCCTCAGCTGAAATCATCCACCTCGCTTCCAACAGGCTCACCTCTATCCCCAACGGGCTCTTTGACAACCTGAGGAGACTCCAGGCAGTCTACCTGCAGGGCAACCCTTGGGAATGCACCTGTGACATCCTCTACCTGCGCTCCTGGCTGCAGTGGCAGCAGAACCGCAGCCTGTACAGGGATGTGAGGTGCAGCTCCCCGGAGCACCTGCAGGGCCGCATCATCGCCTACCTGACAGAGGATGAGATCGTCTCCACGTGCCAGCACTGGTACTGCAGCCTGGCTCTGCTCTCTCAGCTCTCCCTCTTCATCCTCCTTATCCTCCAGGCTATCTTGGTTATCCTCATCATTGTCTACCTGCGGAAATTTCGGAGAATGACCGCTGAAGTCCGGAGCACCACCCAAGAACTAGGCCAGCAGGGAGACCCTTGGGTATCTTCTTCAATAAACCCCTCCAACAATGATTAACATCACGAGACAGAAGACCCTCCTCCCTATGGGGGACACTGTGCCAAAGTCCTGTAGCTTGTGATACCCGGAGGGGACAATTTAGTACAGCAGCTAATCCTGACTGCAGTCTGAAGCAGGACTTGAACTGATCAGACTTTTGCTGTGTTCCTAAAGAATAAATCTTGTGTTTTTTCAATGCTTTAAATTCTTTAGCATGATCTTGGCTGCTTGTCTGAGCTGGAAGTGGTTTGGTAGACTAAGGAAATCATAAACTACAGTGGCCAGAACTGACTCAAACAGCTCATAAGGGCTCCAGTGCTCGATCCCTCCCCTCCTACAGCATTCCAGCCATATTTCCCAGGATGCTTCTGGTTGTGCTGGGTCAGGTGAGGACAGAGGTGAGCAGTAAACTGTTTGAGTACTGAGCTAGGACAATGGAGAAATAGTTTCCTTCTGCTACCACAGACAGCATTAAGAGCTTTGGACTAGGGATTTAGTCTTCCCCTGCCTTGGTTTCCCAAGTAAAAGGGAAAGGAAATATCTTCTTGCTTGATGCATCTTTTCCAATGTTCTTCTAGGAGAGGGAGGACATGTCTAGAAGCCCACTCACTTTACCTTATCTGCATTCCTTTTAGTCTACTTTAGTTTTAATACTGACTTAATTGAGTGAAACTGGGGCCCTGAATCTTTATGAGAAATTCATCCTGAAGACAAGAATTGTTTGACTGTGCCTGTATGGTGCCTGGCACAAGAGATCTGGTCTTGAGAGGCTCAGACTACAAACCCCGCTGATGTACCTACTGCTGTTTATGGTGTCCCTTAATTATTTTTGAAATAAAGCAAAATTTAAATAAAATTATGTACGATGATGTAAAGGGCATATTTTTCTATTCAGCACTGGGTATCTTGCATGCTGTTGTGCTCCCTGAGACTGTTCCTAACCCTCAGACTTTGTGCCAAGTAAAACAAATCCTGAGGGCAGGTGGAGAAATTACTGGAGTGCACCATAGGGTTTAACTTTGGCAGCTGCTGGCTTTTACCATGGGCCAGGAGAAACAGAGAATTTCTCCCAAAGCCGCTTTGTGGCTGCTTGTTTTGTGATGCAGCTGGAATGGGGAGGGTCTTTGTGGGGCCAGCAGGCTGTGGGGTGACCAGCAGGTGAACGACCTGTGCCCTTCAGTCCCCAAACCCAAGTCACGGGGGGTCCATTCCCCACTCAGCTCACACTGAATGCAGCTCGGCCACGAGAACAGCTCTGCCCAGGGGCTGCTGGCAGCCGTAGGGATGGGGCAGCCGGTGGCAGAGGCTGGGGCAGTGGCCAAACAGGCGAGGGAAAGTGATGGGACATGGGACAGGTGAGGGCAGTAATGGAGCAGTGACAGGACACGGGGCAGGGAGGGCAGTGACTGAACAGGGACAGTGGCGGGACACGGGACAGGGAGGGCAGTGACCGGACAGGGACAGTGGCGGGACACGGGACAGGGAGGGCAGTGACGGACAGCTCCCGGGGGCGCTGCCCCGCGGCCGCCGAGCGCCCCCTAGCGGCCCGCTGGCCGCTGCCCCAGGCCGCTGAGGGAGCCCGTGACGGGTGAAGGAGCTGAAGGAGCCGGTCCGGGCACTCCGGCGCCGCCTGAGGGGAAGAAGGGAGTCCTGAGGCTTTTCCCTGCCTCAGGCTGCTTCACCTCGGCTCAGCTCAGCCCAGGGAGCCGCGCTAGCCCCAGATGCACCAGGCGTTGCAGTGAAAAGCCGCAGGTGCTCGGGCGGCGGTGCCGATGGAGCTGAGGCGGGAAGATGGAGGCCTGTGGGTCCCCTCACGGGCAGCGCGCGGTGGAGTCGATGGCTCAGAAGGACGTTCCCGATGCTGTGTGTGCCGGGGCCAGCCTGACTGAGGTGAGTAACATGGGGCTCTGCCTTGGGTGTCTCCTGCCATTTCCTTGCTGTGTCCCTCCAGCACTAACCCCTGTGGCATTGGCCCGACTGGATGTGGCAGCAAGGCACTCAAGGAAATGGGGGTCCAACTCAGATTTATTTTTTCTTCTGGGAACTGCACCTTTTGCACCAGTACCCCCTGCAATATCACTATGACCACGACCTCCAAGGAGGGACACAGGTCCACCAAGGAGCCTTCTCTGTGGAGAGGTCCAGATTGGTGCTCCGTGAGGGGTCCCACAGGCCTCCATCTTCCCGCCTCAGCTCCATCAGCACCACCGCCCCGAGCACCTGGGGCTTTTCACTGCAGTACCTGGTGCTTTTGGGTTCTGCAGATTTTTAGCTGAATTTACCTGGGTTAGAAGGTGCTGCTGGTGCATGTGGGCAGTTCAACAGGTTCAGTTGCTGGGAGAGGCTGAACTGGGAGCAGGCACAGTCCCAGCCCTGTGACAGCTTAGTCTGTTGACACTGCCATGGGGTGCTGAAAATCCTTCATGGCTCAATGTGTCCAGAGAGACAGAACAACTGCTGGCTTTGGTTTTGCTTCCCTGAGCAGGCAGGAGGGCTCCTGGCTCTGCATCACTAAGTCTTGGCACATGGAAGTTTAAAAGCCTTTTTGGCGTTATTTGCACCTGTGAAAAATGTGACCAGCCATGGCACTGTGATAATGAATTGCACTGAGTGCAGAGTGATTTGTGTGCCATGGCAGCATGTCTAATCCATAAATCCAGAGCCTGCATACCTTGCCTTCTCCTGGCTCAGGAATCTGCATGTCACAGATGCTTTCTTGCTCTGCTACCCAGTGGAGGATCTGCTGGGATGTCATTTAAAGGAGAACTGGCTTTCATTCTGAAGGGACACTGTCCAAGAATGCACAGACGCTTTGAAGGGGAAGCAGCAGTGAAATATGGCAAACATAATAAGCACAAGCTATTAAGCTGCTTTGCAAATAATTTTCTAGTATCGAGGCCAATCCAAGCCCATGCCATGCAGGGTTGGGCTGCCAGGCCTGCTGGACGGTCTGCTGCCTTGCCAAAGGTTCAGATGCTTCCAAGCAGCTCCTTTCTCTGAAAGTTACCAGGTTAAAGAAACCTGGGAGACCAGACCAAGGTGTTTGCAGCCTCCATGATGCAGAGCTCCAAACCTGAGCTGTCTAAAAAGCAGGTCAGCACTTCCTGAGTGAAGGAACAAATGGTTGGTAGATGACATTGGGGAAGCACACTGCTTTTTTCTTCCTCCAAATGCCTTGTTTCTCAGTTATCTTTGTGGTGACTTCTGCATGTTTTATAGAGAAAAAGATGGCTTGAAAGCAGAGCAAGCTGGTTTTGGAGCCCAGAGAATTTTAACCCATAATCCCACAGTCCCTGTAGCATACGGTCATTGTGGTTCTGTTTTGCTTCGAGATTGCTGCAGGCCCTTGTTTACAGATTGCCCGGGTCCATGTGACCCTTGGGAACCTGTCCCTGTTCTTTTATTTACAATTTCATGGGTTCTGCACCCTCAGGCGTGCAGTGAAAATATCACATCTGTACACACAGGCAATGACTCATTATCACCCTCTGCAGGGCTTGGTCACTGGGACAGGCAATTCCATGCAGCACTTGCAGATTAGGCAGTGCTTGGAGGTAGTATGGAGTGTGGCATATCCCTCTCATGCAGTCAGGGCTGGGTGCTGTGCGTGTGCCCGAGTGAGAACTTTCAGTGGATGCCTTGGTGGCAGCCTGATCTGGCATTTGTTGCATTGTTTACAAATTGTAGAGACATTTTTCTTGGTCATGAATATGAGGCTGCCTGGCCTTCTCTAAACCCCTCATTTCCCTTCAGGATTGAAGCATGAAGGGCAGCCCAGAGAGAGTGCCAAGAAAACAGCGTTGATTCCACATCATGGGACATCTAATCTGTCCTAGGATGGAAAAACATGGAAAAACAAAGATTTGAGAAATGTTTAGAAGTGACTTTTACTTTTTTTATGTCTATATTTGCATGTGAAAACAAAGGCTCCCTCAGGTTCATAGGCCTTATTTGGAGGGCTTTAATGGAGAGCACAATTTAATTGAACAGGTTTCTGCAAAAGATAAGTTATCATGGGGAAGTGCATTGAAAGCAGCAGGTTGCATTGTTTTGTTCTGAAGATAGTGTGTGTGTACATACTGTATGTCTAGGTAGGAAGGACAGGAGGGAGCACTGCTGGAGGATATAAAAGATTTAAGTGGGTTTAGTAAAAAAAAAACCTCCTCAAATTACCCTACAAATTAAATCTACAAGAAAATTTTTTTTCTATTTTTTAATATATGGCCTGCTTGTGCTCTGAATTGTTTGTGACTATTGAGAACAGAATATGCTGGGAGGTATTTCTTTGTATTTCCACAGAGGAAAATTAACCTGAGAGTTACAAAACCAAAATGCCAAGCATGCTCTCTGTGGATGCCAAAAGGTTCAGGCTGTGTAGCTGATCTGCCGTCCTGGTCTGTCACAGCTGATGATCACTTCTAACCTGCCCTGTCACAGCTCCTTGGTTCCACACCAGTGCCATTCCTTCTGCATGGGAGCAGCTGTGCTCGCTGAAGGAAAGTGTCTGCAGAGCCACTGCAGTACTGACAGGCACTGGGCCTGCTCAGGAGAGGGCAGCAAATCGCTGTTAAACTCCTGTTTGCTTTGAATAGTAAAATACACGTGAGATTTGGGCCTGGGGGAGGGTGAAGGCAAGTGTGATGTCAGCCAGAGGCTAACAGGGATGCTGCAGACTTAGTTGCCCAAGCAGCAGACTTTGCTGCTCTTGAACCAGTAACTACTATTTTTTCTTCTGGGTAGTAACTTAGTTTATTTAGTAGCTACTAAGTAAAAAGCTCCTTATCTCGTTGTTGTTTCAAAGCATCAGACTGAAACAGAGAGGGGGGGAGGTGATCATCACGGTGTTGTGGCCATGATGTAAATAGGGTTGGTTCTCTGTGTGTGTTTAGTCTGATGAGTTTTGGAGGGTGGCAGTCCATCCTTTGGCAGGTGGTAGAAAAAGCTCTTGCCATGGTCACTGAGTGGTGAGGGCAGTGGGTTTTCACTGACATGCCTGTTGGAGAAGGGAAGGTGCCTGGGCTGTTTTGTACCTCTCACAGGTGAATCTTCATGTTGGGTCAGGAGGATGAGTGGGAGGTGGGTGCTCTCAGAATACCCCAGGGCTATGTAGGAAAGAGGACTCAAAATTGTTGGGGTTGGCTCTGTGCATCTGTGGGACAGAAAATGCAGAGGCTTGAACAGGCAGCTGTGTCAGCACCCATGGAATTGAAATGCCCCTGCACTGGAAGGAGCTGTGGGGAGCTGAAATCTGGATCAAAGGACGGTGAAATACCAACAGCTCCTGTTAGGACTCCTAGCCCTTGACTTGGTTGTCTCTCATAGGGTATGATAAGGGATGTGCCTGTGTTTGGGGAGCTTTTACCTCCAGCATTCTCAAGCTCACCAAAGGATTATATGGGTGCCCACACTTGCTCTGTATCTCCATTACCCGATCTTTCAACACAGTGTTAGCAAGCTGGTTTTTTTCCCAGGATGAGACTTTAATTCCTCCCATTGATCATGGCCAAAGAAGAGAGCTCAAATGGAGATTTTATTCCAGAAACAATGGCTCCCTTATGTGCTGTGTCGTGATCTCTCTGAATGAACCTGCTGGTGAAATGAAGGCTTTTCTCCGGGCTGTTTTGTACCTCTCACAGGTGAATCTTCATATTGGGTCAGCTGCCTTGATTCCTGAAGGGAGAGAGAAGGGAAGTAAAACATGAAATCTTTGTTCTGTGGGGACTGAGACAAAATGAGAGTCAGTGGGACTTGGGCTTTATATTTAGATTCCATAAATCCCCATGTGCTGCAGGGAATTTGTACCCATTAACACCTCCAAAGTGGAAGGCAAGTTCCCTGTGTAGTTGTATGTGTTTTTCTGCCTTAAGACACTTCT